TGGGAGAAGATGATACAGGAAAATGCAAACGAAGAGTTCAAACGACGTCGGTGTGTTATTATAAAGCTATGTACAGTACATGTTTCTGTGGTATGTTTGGTCACACGTGCCATGTTCGTGAAATATTTAAAAATGAAAATATGGTCGAACTTTTATAAACATCAGCATCAGTGTATAGGTTAGAGCAAACTTTACTTTGACTTTTTTTTTTTGCCCTTCTTTTGATTTAATGACTTCGATCACAGTCCCCACGCTTGCAATCGGATCCGGCAATCACTTGATGCCGGTTTTAGGTCTGGGAACCGCTGCGTCTCCGCCGCCGGAACCGATGGTGCTGAAACAGACGGTGATTGAGGCGATCAAGCTCGGTTATCGCCATTTCGACACTTCTCCGAGGTACAAGACGGAAGAGCCGCTCGGGGAAGCTTTGTCGGAAGCAGTTTCTCTCGGTTTGGTCGGATCTAGATCCGAACTCTTCGTCACTTCGAAGCTTTGGTGCGCTGATGCTCATGGTGGCCTTGTTGTGCCGGCGATCCAACGGAGTTTGAAGTAAGATTTAGATTCACGACTTGACCACATTCTTATTCCTTATTCTCTTTTGGTTAGAACACACATTCTGATTCATTGTGGTTGGTTGAATATGTTTGGAGTAACATATATAGTCTTAGCTTGGAAAATTTTTCTGTGACGAAACCTCACATTTACTTAATTTGGATCATCTTCTTTGACACATTCTGTTTTTTTTTTTGTAGGAATCTTAAAGTGGACTATCTTGATCTCTACCTGATTCATTGGCCAGTTAGCTCGAAACCTGGTAAATACAAGTTTCCGATTGAAGAAGATGATTTTTTACCAATGGATTATGAAGTAGTTTGGTCTGAAATGGAGGAGTGCCAGAGACTCGGCCTTGCAAAATGTATCGGAGTGAGCAACTTCTCGTGCAAGAAGCTCCAACACATCCTCTCTGTCGCCAAAATTCCACCAAGCGTCAATCAAGTAAACCCGCCTCTGATTTATTTTTGAGCAAACAGTTGAACTAAATCCCATTGAACAACAAGATTAGCATTTCTTTTGTTAGAAGAGACTGAAACAATTGGAGATATTTGTGTGTTTGGATGAATGTGAAAAAAGGTGGAAATGAGTCCAGTATGGCAACAGAGAAAGCTAAGGGACCTTTGTAAGTCGAATGGCATTGTCATTACCGCTTATTCGGTGTTAGGATCGAGAGGGGCCTTTTGGGGAACTGACAAAATCATGGAGTCTGATGTTCTCAAAGAAATAGCTGAGGCCAAAGGGAAAACAGTAGCACAGGTACTCTCAAAAGATACCAACTTGAAAAATTCATCTTTTGAATAATCACAAAATGGTCAGTCACTATCTTTGGTAACATGAACAAATTTGAGATTGTATTATGCATTAGATGAGTCCATGAACCACATCATGAGATATAATCGGATTATCGAGTCCAGATGATGGAACTTGTGTTTTGGGGATGCAAGTTTTGAAGCCTGCTGTTCAGGTTTTGTAATCGAGATTGATTAATAGATGAATAAAATTGTTGACAGGTGAGTATGAGATGGGCGTACGAGGAAGGAGTGAGCATGGTGGTGAAAAGCTTTACTAATGCGAGATTAGAAGATAATCTGAAGATATTTGATTGGTCACTGACAAAGGAGGAGACACAGAGAATCTCGACAGAGATTCCACAATGCAGGATTGTTGTTGGAGAGGTTTATATCTCCGCAAAAGGTCCCATAAAATCCGTTGCCGAAATGTGGGACGGCGAGCTCTGATTTTTTACATGTAAACGAAAGTATCGTATAAGCACAAGAGAGTCAATCAAACGAATATTTCAGATAGCGTCCATATTGAACCGGCAATGTTTGATTTGAATTAAGGGACAGTCGCAAAAAAAAATTCAGGGCTGTAACTCGTAGGATTGAGCCTGGGTTAGTAATAGTTCCATTACACTGGCGTAATCATATCTCTCCCAAATAGGGTTGAACCCAAAACACAAAAACCAACTTCTTGCACTAATCACTATGCCACCACACATTTGATAAAATTGGCATTTGTTATACATTAACAAAATAAACGTCACAGAAGTCTTAGAGAAAATGTATGTACATTTGATGTAAGAAAGACATTTTTTTTTTGCTTTGACATTATGGCTGATTGATTCATTTTTCTCTCTTGATCATTCAGCTCAAACCATAATTCAAAAAAAAAAAAAAAATTAGAGATAGTGTTCTGATCTTAATACATAATCGTCTAAATTAAAGGCATAATTTCGAACTAAATAAATAGGAACAACCGACCAGTTAAAAGCCGACCGCTTTATGTTGACCCAGATGGGAGTTGGTGCAGCTTATTGTGATAAAGAGACCTACTAAAAACAAAAGTTTAGAGAAATTTGGCTTAAAGATGGTGATTAAGAATACATATATGTAGTATGCATAATACGATTCCATCTTTGCTAGATATAAATGGTGTGGAAAATTCTTCTGAAGGTTTTAAGAGACATGTGATAGTGGAGAAATTTTCATGGATTCTCTCGTGTATCAGATGTAATGAATAGAGATCTTGTGAAACTAGTGTCTAGTTCTGGTTTGATGGTATGCCATGCATGTTTTTTCAATCTTATTGGACGGAGAGATTTGTGATTCCGTTCTCTTACAGACAGTGGAACCGGACGATATAGTATGGACTTTTACTTAACTCTATTAGATTATCAAGAAACAGAACCTCAACCAGAACGGATTCGAGACCTATAAGCAGGGTCGGCCCAGGGCAGGGCTCATCAATGAAACATTGGTCTCGTACTTAAATTTAAAGAGCTCATTTTATAAGAGGAAAACCA